AATATAAACGTAATTTTACTCATATTTGTGTGATTCTACTTTAGTTACTTTACTATTCCAGAAAGTCAATAACTAGTATGTTAATTAAAGAAAAAACGTGTATGCAATATCGTATATTAAAATTATAATTGTGTTCGGATTCGTGACTGTAGTGCACTTGGGATTAACTTATTGATAACTGTACATGTATTTGTATTTATATATCGTATCATTTTACGATTTTATATATGTTTTAAGAAATTCTGTAAAGTACCTCAATATTACGTGATAATAAGGTGTACATTTAAACTAATAAGCGGATGAATTAAATTTATTTTTAATGTAAAACCTCACATTATTGTTAAAGTTTAAATTTGAATAACTAGAATGGCAGTCATTTCAATTTTAGTGGCAAACAAATCATCAGAATCGTATATAATATAATATATTTGATAATTCTACCAAATAAAAAAAAATTGATTATTTAGAAATATTATTCAACATTATACGACTGCCGCTATGTGTAGCGCACATACATTACACGCATTTAAACACTGATGATAGTATAAAATGTGTTGAGTGAAAAAAAATTTGAAGTAGCAAAAAATAAACAGTAAGGTTTATATAAGGGCCCTAGAAATTATTAATATAAGAGATCTGAGTTGAGTTGTAGTAAATTAAGAAATTAAAAGGAAATCGTTTTCATAAGTGTATTTTATGAATTGTGGTAAACAACCCTCATATAATATACCTACCTAGAATTAAATTTAATCCAAACTTGCAATATTTTATAATTAGGAGAACTTTACTAAAGATTTCGCGGTAGAAACCAAATTTTAGTTTTGAACCATTATTTTAACGTTATAATATCTTACACATGTATAATTACAATGAAGTACTTTAGTATCAACAATTTTGCAACATTTTAATATGTATAGTTTATTAAAACTGAGATATTTAATAACGTTTAACTGATATCCGGAAATACATTTTCAGTTTTCATATAATATTTTAGTATCTATATAAGTAGTAATTTATGGAAATAGTGTTTTTATACTGATAGATTTATATAGAATCATATGTATAATGTATGCAATATTAACTAATAAGGTTTTTGTATTATTTCTTACCTTGAATGTTTATATTATTATGAACTAGATTTTTTACGAAGTTTGTAATTTTTTGTTAGAACAAACGAATAATAAGTGACGTGAAAAACAGGCAACTCGTACTAGATGTGGTTATAAGGTCAATGCATATGGTTTTCGTCTTTCTGAAAATAGGAACTACATTTCCGTCACCAATCGTCCTTAGGAGGGGTCGGCTTGTAGTTGAAGGGTGGCCAGTGTGAGTCACGCTATATGTCGTTTCGTCTTCCCTCGCACCGGTCGAAACACTGGTGTACGTAGTCGTATACACCGACAACGTTTCGTTGTTTTTTTTTTATARCGTTACTTTTTACTCCAATAATTATTTAATATTTGAAAAAAATGTCAGTGGTTTGGAAACGATGGAAAAACTGAACTGTAATTCTGTCGAACAATTTATTGTGTTATTTCCTTCTAATTTATTATACTATCAACTTTCGGAGCAAAGACATGTGTTTGGATCTCGTTTTATGCGACCATATTATAGTGGTAAACAACACACGATTCTTTTACAATGTGTATTAATACACATATAAGCATCGATGTATCCGTGTATGTTTGACATGACTCGTACGGATTCGTTCTATTTTTCAACTCTTAGTCAACCGAAGGAAGCATATTATATTGCACCATGCGGATGTTGCGTTGTTTTAAAACCAATTCTTGTCCCTAAATTAATTCCATTTTTAGATTTGATATTTTATTATTTCAATGGTTTTTTCTCTCTTTATTTCTTTTTTTGTCTAAGCTTAATTTGGTAAAATCGCATCGAAATTGTTTCATAATAATAAAATTGTAGAAACAAAAAATTGGTTAATGTTTACACATAAATTATAACTCCATATAATAGATTCTTATTCTTTAGATTTTGAAAGTAAAAATAAAATCATCTGTACATATTTTTAACATAAAAAGTTTATTATACAAGATGCTTTTTTCCAGAATGAATTTACGCGAATAATTAACATTTGACGATATTGATAATTTAAATATGATAACGGGGAAGAATATAAATACCTTATTTAATTAGTACGTTGATAAGTATATGAAAATACGTAACAATCATAATATAAATATTAGTTAGTGAATATTGACTATCAAAATCGACAAAGATGATTGGTAGAAGCAGAAAAAAACAATTGTTCTGTATTCATATAACTTTTTAGGCCATGTATGTTTTAAATAATACATTAATATGTCGTGAGATGATTTGCATTTCCTTATACTTCCATGTAAGTCTTTGGTGATTGTGCACCTTTGATAAAATGTAATTTACAAGTTGTTCGGAAAATCAAGTAGAAAAACTATTTCTTTACATCGAGCCATCTAAATGTGTAAAATAACGTATATATAACTAGTTAAAACGAAAAGTTTTTAGATATTTTATCTGGAAAATTATGTTTTATTTGTAAATGCGTATTTAATACAATAATAGAAATGTTTTCTAGTTCTAAAAAAGTGTTGTAGGTAGGTGTTTAAATTTAAAAATGTTCTTTTATTATGTAATACTATATTACAATATAGTTACCATATAATTGGTGTATCACATTCTYATATTATAGGTTTAGCAGTCATGTAAATCGATCATGTGTTAATATTAATAGAGCCATTCAGGAAGAATAAGAATATGATTGTTTTCGATGTCGGGGTTAATAGTTTTACGCTCTAAATAGGTAACCCATTGTCTGAAATACCTTATGAATAAATGCAAGATACTGTTTTTCTCAGGCGATAATGTATTATTATTTTTTTTTTTTTGGAATCTTCAATTACATTAAGTACACCTCTTTAATGCGTCAAGGTGGCTTATTAATTGTTTCAATTTATATTTAACTAAATATATTAAATCATCGAAAGTTATGAATATTGTATAGTTAATAGATTTGTTATTGAAATTTCAGTCGAGGACAATTGTAATGTTTGGAAATTAATAATATTATAATTTTTATACAATTATAACTATAATGATTTACTGGTTCATATACACGTGTTAGTTATTTTTTTGTAGAAAGTTTTTGTTAGGATTAAATAATTTGATATAACTAAGAACAAAAAACAACGACTTTGGTTTTTCTTAGTTTTTATTAAGTATATTATTTATTTAAATTTATCATTTAACAACTTATTGAACGCTATTTTAGTTTGAAGAAAAACTTTTTTTTATATAATATGCTTTTGTATAAAAATAATTCTTAACTAGAACAAATCGTATAAAAATGCATAAAACGGTTACAAACTCAGATACAATATGTTTTTTAAACAGCTATAAACGTATTTAATAATTCCTAACAAATTATTAAATTGATAAAATTTAAAATATTAAGCAAAATATTATTCTTTATAGGTCAATATGAAAATATAAGATGTAAGTATGATCTACGTTTTGTCTGCGTACCATATTATTTACATCATATTGTCACTTATACATTAAGTTACTACTTATAATACACACATTTATCAGTAATATTTACTAATAGAAAGTAAAATGATGAAAATGGCAATGGCTGGAATTTATCGACATTATTGACAATTAGAAAATAATACAATAATATTTTTTTATTACATTATAAAAATAAGCATTTATGAATGTATACTTAAATTAGACCAACTTATGGCAGTATAAACTTAAATTTTGTATGGGTTTTACTGCTGTTTCACGTTTTATCAAAACATAATATTAGATGGAATAGTTAAATTTATTATGTGTCTGCATACTATTACCTGTTGCATGAATTATAATATATTATAATTTTCTTGTTTAATATGTAAAATAGCTTAGAAAACTTAATGCATGTCTTGCAATAAAAACCCTGACAATAATAGGTATTAAATAATCACTATAAAAATATGATGATGCGTATCGCATATTATCTTGATGATTATCTATTGCAGTTTAGATAAATATAGATATCGTCTTTCGAGTTTCTAATCATATTAAAGTAGCCACACTTCGGTAATCACTTCGGTGCGTATAATATGTATTTAATAATCGTATGTTATATTAGTCTTTATTTTCATTTATTTTAGTAAAATTCGTTATCTTAGGCGTTTAATAATTAATGAAAAAAAAAAAAATTCAACTAGAGCACTAGACGCATAATAATTGCACATAATGCAGTCGTTCCAAGGTACGTGCATTCTGCATAGGTGCCGAAATGGATGATGATGACGTTTGTATTGCACCGTTCGATTTTTCGTAGTAAATAATATACAATTTTGACGAGAAAAACGTGTTCGTGCCTTATATAATAATATTATACCATTAAACATGATACATCATTATTATATTTTACGAACCTTTATAATATGAAGATAATTTATAATAATATAATGGTAACACACCGCGGCGGTTGGACAATGACCGCGGTTCCGTTATGACCGTGGAAACCCCGCAGTTTGCCGCCGCCAGTGCAGTTTTCTCGATGGATGAGGCGCAGCTCGGCGGAGGCGGTGGCATTCAAAACCTGTAAAAATACGGTTTATTTTCGTACGATTTTTTTTATTGTCGGTGTTGTTGTTCGATTGTTCGTTCTATTATTTCGCGCGCTATATCGGTTGAGCCGTCGTCGTCGGTAGGAAAACGAAAAAAAAAAAAAACCACACATCTAATAGCGATAGAAAAAATTATAATAAGTATACCAGCCATTATACCTGCAGCCTTCCGATCGCCTCCACCGACCGCATCGCCGTCGTCGTCCGTTGTAGTGTTGTTGCGTATTGAAAATTTCGTTTTACCGTATAGTTGGCATAAATCACGTAGCACACCTCCCCACCTCCTCATCAACACCGCCCCGCCRACGACGAAAAAGTCACGGGCCGCAGCGAGCGGAGAGCACACGACGCGCACGGCCAACGCCGACAGTYTACGCGCACGTGTCGTACGAGATGGTTTWCGATGTCGTCGTCATGTGACGTTCTATCTTGTACAATAACAACAATAATTCGTGTGTGTGTGGGAGAGTATTATACATATTATTATTAGAGTAAAGTTATAATTATTATTATTTTTGTATTAATATAACGCTATTATCCGTTTCGTGTGCGCGTGTGACGGCGGCGTATCCGAAGACCCTACCCGACCGAGTTACGAAACTCGATATTAATATTATAATAATAATATAATATCAGTATAATTTAACATAACTATTATTACTATTATTATTATTAATATTATCGTATTGTATTGAATGGGGAAGATGTCTTCGGGCACCGCGGGTGCCGCTGCAGCCGCCGACGAGAGGACGATGACCGCAAAGGGTAAGGTACCAAGGGCCTGTTATTATTATATAGCTGTTGGGGGTTTTAAATAAATTATGATGGTTGTCGTATAATAAACGTGACGTGTACAATGGCTTCTGACGCGTTATCGTCTTACCCGGGGAGTCGTGTTGACGGTTTTTTTCTCGTCCGGATACGAGAATAAAATACTAAAATGGAATATACCAGTATACGTACACAACGGGTTGAAATGTTATTTACTTACACACCTCCTATGTGAGGCAGATGGTGCWCTACAATGCACTAATATTATAACGTATTATTACGGCGTAATTTCAAACAATTTCATATTGCGAGGATTGAAATAGGTAAACGGTTTATATGGTTGTTACACGATTTGAATTATGTCTTGTGAATATTGGCTAAGTTCTCGCAGTACCTGGGTATATATATAGAATACTGTTGCTCAAACTTAAATCACAGTTTTTCACGATTTTTATTTTTAATTTGTATTTTTCCATCTCGAAATAAATCCAATTAACTTAATTCTATAGAGAGTAACTTATTTTCTCGTGTTCATACCTATTATTCTTACCATGTTAGTGAAATCTCCTTGCTTGATTATATAGCCATTACATCAATAACCAAAACATAATATTGTGTTATGCCTACTGCTGTCACGTAGAAATTACGAGTTTAGAGTTTACTGGTTGTAGTTTCTACTAATAATTTTATTTAATCGTGGTGATTTTTATTTATTATCTATTTAAAATTTTCATGGTTGAAAACTTAAATGACTTATTAATATTATTATTTATTTCATCGTTATTTTTCGTGTGAACTATTCTTAATAATGTAGTTAATTTTAAATCCATTATTTTCGTCTTGCGTCTTTAATATTCCTAACAATCAATTTATAATATTTTTCATGCATTTTCTCCCAAAGTTCTGACGTCAGTATGAGGTTACCTTGAAACTTTTGTGCCTTTGTGGTGTCATATTATTATTGTTATGAAAACAAGGTGATTACTGGGTTCCTACAATAGTGCATAGTCATAAACAGTTACTGAGGTTATACATTATAGGGTTGATGATTGTCAAAATATTCGAAGGTTTTTCGTTAACAGGAGCTTTTATAATATTATTCTATTTTTTAATAAACAACATTCCTTAGAATAAAAAAATTGAAATAATAAATAGAAATCAAAAACTTCTTTTCCAATAATATGATAAGTTATTTCGATTACTTTATTTTATAATTTATAGTTACTATAATAATAGTTATCGCAATTAGAATATTACTTATCATATTTATTATATTATACATTATTCACCTATAGTTGAAAACTATGTAATTATATCAGAATATTATTATAGCTATGTTTGTTTTGGCTCTATTCTCAATAGAATTATCTAATTCTATTGTGTGTATATTATATATATATATATATATATATATATATATATGTACATTTATAACAATATTATCGAGAATTGGACTCTTTCTATTATAATAGCTTATTTAATAAAATCATAAATCATGTTGATGTTAATTATCCGTAGAGTATAAACAAACACAGTTAAATTGTCAATGATACATTGATACTACGCATTTAATCACCATATTATAATATATTATAACTTATAACTTATAACCAATGATTGTACTTACTGATGTGAAAATGCATTTGAATTATCTTCAATTGATTTAAAWATTTAAATACGAAGTAGATATTATATTTTGTTATGTTAGGTAYTCGATTATTTATAAATCAATTTTGTCCAAATTTACGAAAGATAATTATGTAGAATAATTTTAACTACATAATGAATTATCTTTATTGTTGTTATGAAACGAATAATACAATTTAATATGTCCTTAATACAATTTATTAATTAACAACTATTTATAGATAGACAATGAATTTATTTTGCATTGAATTGATACTTGTTATTTTTTTGAGTTAGTTGTTACCAATTTAATTTTCTGTTCCAGTGAAAAAATATTGCAGACTTTTTTTTGCGCAAACTAAACAATAACATGAAATGTGTTATTGTTTATTTTACGTTTTTAACTAATTTGGCATCGATTTAATGTTAATACGATTTTAACTGTTTACTTACGTAAAGACTAGTTGTAAATCTAATACAGAGGTACGTAAATTATTTTTAAAATTATTTTTATTGACTGTAAATAGTAAGTTAATGTATTCCATGTAAATATACCAAAGTAAAATGTTCAATGTACCTACTACCTACTACATATCTGAAACATTTTACTAAAATATCCACAACATGTTAGTTGTATTAACAAAGTTTTTAAAAAATATTTATGTATTTGATAATACTATGAAGGTTAAAATTGGAAAAACTATCARTATTTTCATACTATTATTATTATATTAGTAATATTTTATTTGCTTAAGTCTATAAAGAAATATTAAATTGTTTAAAACCCTTACATTGAGTTAGTTTCATAAATAAAGCAATTTGAGATTATATATTCATTGAATTTTATTCGTTTTTGTTATTATTTAATTGTAATAATTAATAATAATACAGTTTTTTGTTGCTAATATTTTACTTGTTTTAAAATAATGACTTTTAAAGTTGAATTTTTCCACGCTTGTTATACATTTCCGGTATAATATAGTATCGAGGTCAGACTTTACATTGCTCTACCTTTTACAAGATCACTCGTATAGTTATTAAGATACTCTGAATATTGGAAGACGTAACGGTGATATAAGATATTAATATATTATATTGTTCGTTGTACAAAGGTTCTAGCAACTTCCTAGTTAAATGTAATCTATTTCCAATTGGTAGATAGTTGGTCTCTACCTACTTATTATTATATTAAATCCTTGCGTATTTTTCTATTTAATTTATGTCCACCTATTTATTTAAACTTACTTTTTKTTAGAAAAACGACTGCAGTTATAAATTTATATGATGCATATTATAGTATTTATGGATCGTGTTTTAAAAATGACGTATTGAAATTTGTATGATATCCAGCATATTATATATAAATGACGTGTCAAATATTTTATGGTATCTTTTTAATAATATATAACGCAATGATAAATATTATTATCACGTAATAATATTTTCACGAAATTTAATTATAAAAGCATATTATAATAATAAATTTCCTTTTAAAACCTGCCCTGATGAGTCATGATCGAGACGATAGACGTTCCCCTTTTGGCGTTTTTGATTGATTCCGTTTCCTTTTTTTTGTTCTCTCTCACTCTCTCTTTTTCTATACTCCGAAGAACATTATATTTATATATATTAAACACACGCACAGGGGGCTGCTTCTTTTCCCCTCAACATGGTAAGGTTTTTTGGTGATTAATTATAGCCATTTGACTCCACCCTGTACCCGTATTCTTTGACGAAAAGACCTCGGTAGGTTCTCTGTATACGTGTTCAATTTAATAGCTAGATAACATATTATATGCGACACGTTTTACGTTCTAAAGGGTCAATGAAGGTGAACTCGGGTAATTTTTATGTTTCTAACAAACTGATAAATTACCAACACGATTATCTAATTAAAGTCAGTGTGTCGCTTTAAACTCGATGCACAAATATCCAACTCGTTCTCGTGTAACAATATCATACTGTAGTTAGTATCTTGTACCTACTATGACGTATTCCGTCCTTCGGCGATTGAAAATGCTTAATTTTTCGGCTACCGGAAAATTATACGCCTAGTCGGCCACTGTTAGGTCAAGTTGGGTCGCTAGACAATTTTATTTTTATTATCTGACACGTTCTCCCGTCGATGACGGACGAGCCCACCCGTGCGTTGCATCGTTGMATCTTTCACAGCCGGCGTCATTTAAATATAGCCACTTTGTATTTATTGAGTATATTTACCTACTCTGACGCGTACAGAGGAAGTTGTGAGGGTCTACAGCGAGTACTAATTTTACAGTGTCTTCGTATCAATAGAATGTTTGATGGCGGACGTGCCCCGTTGGTAGGCGGACAGCCAGAAAGCACCCTACACCCTTATCCTTCATATTCACCCCCCGCGGTGTCGCCCTTATCACAATCGATGGCCGCACGTTTTGTTGCGCGATATCATCTAAATTAAATATTATTATTTGTTGGTCGTATTTGTCCGTGTTGCCACACACATACACGAATACACAGAGGGTGTACCGTTATTATTGACTGGTGGTAAACAGCATGGTATAATTTGTTTGGTATACAGTTCGAAACGTATCCGAACGTTCAACTATCGGAACTTATGCATTTTGATCGGATGTAATATTCGTCTGTAAACAGGAATAATATGAAGAATGCTCAACACGATACGTGTTTCCGTCTCAGTTCGCGCATGTGCTTTGGCTCGTGATTTTGTGCATACTGCATTGTATATAATATAAGACGAAGAATTGATATATTATGCAAGTGACGTCAGGTTGGATTTACTGTCGGTTGCATAAATTATAAAATATTATTATGTATTATATTGTCCCTTAAAACAAAAAATGTGCGCATTCGGTCGTCGAACATTAACTTTTTATTCTTCCGTCTACTACCGTCCGTGCATAAATGTTGAGCGACGCGCCGCTGGTAAAATGTGCATGGCCAATGACGTATTCAGTGCTTTTGAATGTCATTACGGTGCATTTACGACATGTCCGTGTGGGCTGTGCGATATGGCGTGTTGCGTTCTATTTTTAAAAATTGGAATCGTCGAGCGTCGTTTCGCCGGCGTATTTTTAAACCGCGTGCTGATCGACGCCAACGTGCCTCGAAAAACGCTCTCGTATCACTGAACGATATTATATAATACAATAGCGTAYGATGATGGTTACGGTCTTGGCGGTGATGGGCGGAGAAAAAGCACGCGACATGAGCCCCAAGGTCGTGCCTTTATTCCACCGCCGCCTTATATTTGGCGGCAAAATATTACGAATCTTATTCATTGGCCTACCAAATGCAACTCGCCTCATCCGTGAATCCGTAAAGAGTGATTTTCAAGAGTGGTATATTATATTTTTATATAGCGATCAGTCTGTGACGAGACCACTGTACAGGAAACTCGTAAATATTCACATCGATAATGGATGAGGATATGGGGTTATTCGAGACTTGAATTGGGGGAGTTGGAAAATCTAAACGAATTATGGAGGCGATATTATCCTGCAGCAACATAATACAGCCGAACAAAGAGTGTGCATTAACTGCAGAATACTGAAACATGCAAAATCGTGGTGCCGAAAATAAGAGTTATTTGTTATGTTAGAGAGAACTGAGGGATGATAAAAATAGATTTTAAAATGATCTAAACGGATATGGGGGAGTTTCGTGATGACTTAAATTATTTTTAAATATAAATAAACGACATTAAGATTGCAGTAAAAATAGTTTCAACCCTAACATGTCGTACATTATTCCAAWGCATCTATGTCAGTATGTATATAAGTGTTAAATTAAATATTATTAACTACCAATAATATATTATGTTGAATATTTTTATAACATTTTTCGTTTAATTTTTTATCATTGTAAAAATGTTATGTAAAATGTAAGAACTTTTTGTAAAGTTTGATCAAAATTCGTATCCTGAATATTTTGGATCATGATTAATGGTTTATATATAATATATAAGTCCGGGTGTCAGGAAATGTAGGTCAAGTCCATTTAAACGAGTTTGTAAACATTTACGAAATACGTTAACTAGGAATATTTAACCTCTAACAGACGAATAGACATTACCTTTCGACCAGGGATTGTAATTTCCAAACTTGGTTGTTATACTTTTATGAACCGATCAAGGTTTTAATTTAATAATTACATTTTTTACATTCAAAGTTTATCATCATCGCGGTAAATAAACCACAATATGTAGGTACTTAATAATATTAACGACGAGTTTACCGTCGTCTAATTATTGATTCGAATCAATAATAAAAATTAATAATTATGTATATCATCTGTAATACGTAGGTAAGTTATACGTATACCGGATGGTTGATACYACTTCGACCTGTCATATTTTGTCGTAATTATAATACTATTATCGGTGTGTTACGTTTATTTTCCGCTTGTATAAATATTACATTATTATTATTGTACGTGGTTGATATTTGTTTGACACGTGTGTTCAATGAACACAACGGACRTTCGATGGTGGTTCGTGCATAGCACTTATATCGCTTTAGAATAGTATTTCAATATTAAGAAATTTGTCATAACTTATAACTTATTGACTATTGTAAATTATTTACAATTATTACGTTTATATTATGATGGCGTTAAAATGGTTTGAAATAAAATTGGTTTTAAAATTTAAAATTCTTAAACTACATAGTGCGAGCGTTTTAACGTCATCATATAAACGTAGTAAATGCCTAATTCCGGTGTATTTAACATTTTGCTCATGATCATATATTATTTTTCCCAAATACTCTGCGTACCTAGGAAGTATTGAAATCGTTCTTAATTGGTCTTACACATTCTTCACTCTTGAATTTTAGAATGTTATTATCGCACTACAATAATAATATTATTACCTATTCATTTTATAATATGTTGGAGAGAAATATGAAGCCTTAAAAAATCAACTTAAAGGAAGCACCTGGCTACCAGTGTTAATTGTCGGTAAGAGCGGAGGGGGATATTATTCAACGATATCAAAATCGTGTCTTCCGGTCCGAGGTAAAAGGACTATACGGTATCCAACGAAATCTCAAGACTACAGCCTATTGTACAGTCACTATAAATATATAGGTATTATGTTTGCACTTAACAGTGACTTTTTTTTTTGTTGCTTTTACCATTAGTTATTATCAGTTTCTATATACTAGATATATGTATATTATGTGTGTTTTCTAATCCAGTATAGTGACATTTTGACGTACACATTTTATCATTCGCGGTACGCCCACGTCAACACGAAATGTACGCGTTTTATTGTGGCTCAACGACAACATTTTTAAAACATAAACATTGTACCTCACGTTCGAGTTTTGTATTTACACTAAATCTTTTTATATACGCGTTTATTCGATGCGAAAGAAATAAACAAAAATATAAGTCGTTGGCTACATAATAAAATGTTACATTATAGTATGATGGTTCTACGCGTGATTATCGACGAAGCATTTTAAAAATAATTCGATTCTTTTAATGCGTTTCGGCGCGTATATTATTCTGTTGTCGGGCTCGTTATATATGTATATACACATATATTGTTGGATCAACTGGGACAACTTCACTTAGGATGAATAACTGTCATCCCTAACAGCCGAAAGGACGGAGACGTTGCRGGGGTTCCACTGTTCAAACACGCGCTCTTGTCCTACCCGAATGTTTACCCAGCGATGAAGAGTACCTAACCACCTAATATTGGTCGGCAACGAAATAGCCGTTTAACGTTGTAATATCATATTTAATGGGTTTTTATAAAATAGTGTCCATACTCTTGTAGCTAAAACTCCGGTGACCTCGGAACCGTCGGAACGACACCGCCATATTTAGTCTGGGACACACAACCACCGATATTAGGATATAATATGTGATTAGAGTTCGTATTGTCATTTTCATCTTAAAAAAAAAAAAAAACAAAATATAATGAATGAAATTCTCATTTGTCCTTGACTATTATAACGACATGCGTGGTCTTGTGATCTACACTGTATTAGGATATATTATTTAACACCCGTCTACGGTGTCTATAATAAATTATGTTAATATATTATTTCAGTGGAAGTATATTCTAGACCATACGTTTATCGTACCTACTGTACAGTTAGATAACGCATTATGTAGGTACCTCCTAATGGTTAATGTTTCTCGATTGCGGTATTGAATAATATTCAATTTACAAACCAGAACTTAAATAAAATATTCCAATTTCTAATATGAATAATAAAACTATGGTCCTATGACGATATATTTTGTTTCATGGGCGTGTTTAAATAAATTACACCGTGTCACTATTATTTTTACATGATATTAATAAACCAAATTGCCTTATGTTTCTTATTCATTTATGTAGAATTTCGAAACTAAAATGGTATCCCAAATTTCTCATCAAGATAGCTTATACTTGATTTATATTTACATTAGGTGTGCATATTACACAATGCAGGAGGTCAAAAGATCATTGTGTAGCCCACGTTTTTTATTGTTGATATTTTTCAGTTTTTAGTGTATCTTCYAGGCTATTGTTAGAATTGCTTGAATCCCTACGTCTTCGCCGTGTGTAAGACAGCTATTTATTTTGATTTCCAATCGTTAGAATCATACAATACATATTATATTATCTGTGCAGAGTTCATTGTAACGACAAATCATAAATAATAATACAATTATCATTATTATTTACTGTAGGTTGATGAAATAGTTATTGCGTTCGGTGGTTTTTTTGTTTTGTTTTCGTGATTTGTTTTAGGCATTCCAATACTAATTTAATATTTTTTTACCTCCTATAGATATCCGCCTCCAGCTTAACGAACATCTACGATGTCTGGACAGTCGAGTCGAAGCACAAGTATCCTTGGTATCCGAACTTCAAGATTACTTCAGAAAACGGGCCGAGGTAGAAATGGATTACAGCAAAAGCCTGGATAAATTAGCTAAAAGTTTACAACTACGCCACAAAGAACAAAAACAAAAGTGAGTGCATAAACACAAAGTAATCATAACATTGGTTAAGTTGTTTAACTTTTATRTCACTGAAACTGGKTTWTATAATAAATTCGCGTATTTTTGTATTATTCTRCCATTTCTTTTTGCTAAACATTTATCAAAAATATTATTTAAATACATTTTGCAACTATTCAAACATATCTATTTCTTGTATTGGTATAAAAAAATGTTCATATTAATATTTTTATTTATAATTCAAAGTAACAGATCTTGTCACTCGTTCATATAAGAATRTTTTAACATTTTGAAATTATACATAATCAAAAATTAAAGGCATGATTCATGAAGTTATAATTAAAAAATAAAATAAAATAAATGAACCAATTAATTTAATTTAAAAAATAAATACTTAAAATTAAATTATTTCATAATATTTTATAATAAACATATCATAAAAAAGTTTTCGATAACTATAAACAATGATATATTTTAATAATATTACTCTAGTACTTGTCTTTGTAACACTGTGTATATTTTTTATCAACTATAAATTGTTAATTATTATAGGGTTACAATAGGTAAAATTTAAACATCGTGCAATATAATTAATGTTATATTATACTATTATATAGTAAAATTTCTCATGATGTTTTAAGTTATAAATTAAAAATTAATATAAATATTTATAATTGTGAAATTTCACTCGCCACTTTTTGTGTTCTATCGCACACGCCCTCTCTGCACCTCATTGAATATTATAACTTGAACGTAGAATATAATTTAATACGTGTACCTACTGTAAAATATTCGAGACAGCGTTAGTGTGTTTAAAAATTATCATATATTTTGGAATTAGTATTACTAACTATGTACGTCAATGAAAACAAAACACATTAGCTTAGGTGTGTGTGTATCCTGTGTTTTTACGTTAGCAGGAAGGAATGTAAATTAGTTTGTTTCATATTTGTATTGAAAAAACTTGCATGTATGATATCGTTAACCTTGTGTGTACTTAGGAGAGAGCAGTGGTCGCTGTTTACCAGCTACTCGTGTTGGCAGCAGCTGGTGTTGCAAACGAAAAATCTTAGTAAAGATCACGGGGCGCTCAGTGAGCTTTATTCTACTCATCTAGTCAGCAGATTGTCTCAGGTCACTGAAGATGTGCAAAGRATATATAAAAGAGTTAGTATAGAAAGTCCCAACACGTCTCATTGACCGCCACCTTAACTAATTTTTTTATTGCTTGAATTATTAGTGCCGAGAGATTTGTTACGAAATCCACGAGGAAATATTACGGGTTCTTCACGAGCTGCATACCACCATGAAAACATATCAGTCGTATCAGGCGGAAGCCAAACAGGCAGAAGCGAAGCTTAAAGTGGCTGAAAATCAAAGACTGAAAATCGAACAGGCAGTTCCTAAAGAAAAACTCGATAAGTCGAAAAAAGTTAAACTTATCGGGAAAGAAGTTCAAAAAGTAATATTTTTTGTTTTACTTATTTTCAACTGTATTTTATAAGCGTTGTAGGTATTTACTAATTATTCATGCTTTAGAGAAAGAACAAATACTTCGAYGCTAAACTAAAAGCATTGAAAGCTCGCAACGAGTACATTCTGTGTCTGGAAGCAACCAATAGCACAGTTCACAAATACTTTGTCGATGACTTATCCGATCTAATGGACTGCATGGATTTTGGATTTCACCACTGCGTGACCAAAGCTTTAAAGATGCAAACATCGGCGGAAGAAGGTCGTATTCATTCCATGCAAGCTGGCCTAGACGCTACTAATCTAATTGTCTCAGCTATGGACTCYGGTGTGGACAAACAACGATTTTTAGAATTTAACCATACCGCGTTTATGATACCTAAGAAATTTGAATTTCAAGGACAAAAAGATGAGGTGATTCTTGTGTGATTTATATGACTTTTTCAATATTCTACTTACAACATATCATATATTCATTGTAAATTGTATAGTATGCGGAACCAGAATTGCAAAAGTTGCTCTGTGCTGATATGGAGACGAGGTTGGAACAACTGAATCAAAGAGTTACGAGCCTGCACACAGAGTCCGACGAGGTGTGGAAAACATTGGCTACTGCTGAAAAAACTCTTCTGGAGATGCTTACTGCCAATGACTACGATTGTAGCAATTATTTCGGTGAAAAAGCGATTCCGACGAGCAAACCACCGGAAACCATTAGTATTAAGTTGCGAGCAGACAAACACGAGACTGAAGAATTTTATCTAACCGTGAGTACCACTGAAAATGTATTCGAATATTTCAGATTTCATTCCAATAGGATAAATATATATTAATACAATATCTGWCTAAAATAAATAGTACTTGGGCAATATTATATAYATGYGTATTAAAAAATATACACAACATGCGTATATTATACTACGCACTTTGTATATTTTATTTCCTGTCGAGACGTTTTTAAATAATAATTAGTCATTATTTTTATTTTTAATGCTGCACACATGCCGATTTTTTTTACATTTTCTCTTTGTTCTTTGTTGTAGAAACTACGTGATTATCTCATGAGAACCAGTCGAATCGTACGTCTAGATGCCAAACAGCAGCACATTAACGAAACGTTAACGTCCATATGTTGCAAGCGTCCCCAAAATGGCAACGTCGATTTGACGCCCGCTAAACTTACTCCTCAGCGACCGTTGCATAAACCRATTGTCCGAAGGAAAAGGATAGGTAGGCTACAGATGAACGGTCAACCAAAACTGTTTGGCGGGTCCTTGGAGGAATATTTGGATGCAACGAATCAAGAGATACCATTGGTTATCAAGAGCTGTATTCGAGTGATAAACTTATACGGTAAGATAATTACAATTGACATTTGATTTGTCACGGTTTTCGTYACTAATCCAAAATTTTACCCGCAGGTCTTCACCATCAAGGAATATTTAGAGTGTCCGGTTCACAAGTAGAAATAAACAATTTCAAAGACGCTTTCGAGAGGGGCGAAGACCCGCTTGCTGATATGACGGACGCCTCAGACATAAACTCCGTAGCCGGAGTGTTGAAATTATATTTGCGTGAACTCCGAGAACCTCTKTTCCCAATCATTTATTTCGACCAATTTATGGAACTTGCCCGTAAGCTTTTTACTTTCGAGCATAYAAGAAATAGCCTTTGTTTTTAACAATAGAAAAAAATTAGGGATAATATGATCTGACATAGTTTTCATACGTGTTTATCTGATAAATATCAYGTTTCCATAAATTATCCTGTTCATTTCTCACACGTAAAGTTTTATAATAATATAATGTACCTAAGTTATTTCTAAGTGTTGGTATTAACTTGGTGTGCTGTTTGAGAGAAATAGTTATCTACCTATCAATATTTCAATAAAACTAATTTTATAGTTTTTATTTTTGAAACTGCTATATTATTATATTTATGGTCAAAAATAAATGAAAGATTGAATTATTATATTAACTAGTTTTAAAATCAAATGATTTTTGGATATATTCAACTATAAGTATGCGTAGGAGAAATGTGTTTAATGGATAACTTAATTTTACTATATTGTACGTGTGATGTTGTATTAGATGGATAACATATTATTTATTATAACGTATATTTTTTATTTCTTAAATAATTGTCAATTATTAAACTTGTATGAGAAAATATTATTGTTTCAAAAATAATTGTATAAACTATAAAGTTGTTTTTGCATATATTTACTTTTTGTTAAATGCTCTAGTTCGTATTTGTTTAAAAGGTTTATTATTTTTCAGAACTCGAATCACGTCATAAATTTGTGTTGAAAATGAAAGAACTCGTTCAAAGCTTTCCAAATCAAGTGGTTGTCATGTTGAGATATTTATTTGCGTTCCTAAACCAGTAAGTTTATACGTTTGTAATGGTACAGCTGTTGGTATACAATATTGATTAAACATAATATTTTGCTTATTATTTCAGTTTGTCCGAGTTCAGCGATGAAAACATGATGGATGTATACAATCTGGCTATTTGTTTTGGTCCGACATTAGTGCCGGTTCCCGAAGAAAAAGACCAAGTCCAGTACCAGAACTTGGTCAACGATCTCATAAAAAATATAATTCTATTCCACGAAGACATATTTCCGTCGCCGACGGATATCGGTGGGCTTGTGTACGAAAAGTACATATCCCGCGAGCCCGATGACGTTGACGTGGGCGATTCACCTTCTGACCATGCCCAGGAGGACATCGACTCTGAGGTTTACCCATCAGAAGACGGTACGTAATGGTTTAGGTATAAAACTCATTGTTAGTCGGAGGAAACAATTGAAAAAAAAAAACTCTAAGCACAACAAAAACGTGTCTTATTGATTCCAACGGAGCGAAACCGAATGTAATGAGATCAAATAACATTCTWTAAAATACGAAAACTAACGAAGCATAGCGATTTGGTGTCGGAATCGACGTAAATGATTTGAAAATATGAGTCACGACTTGTGGTGGCATTACATCATAAATTTAATTGGGTAACATCGTTAGTAAGTCAAGTCATTCAAATCACGTTGGTACTCGGTAATCACTTGAAATATACATTATAATAGATATCAAATATTTATCTTGTTTATAGAGATTTTATAAATATGGCTTATTCATATTTTAAGTAATTATTCTGACGAAACGAGACGTTTAACTAATACTATCATGTTTTTTTTTTCATTTTTTGTTAAGTTTTTTTTTAGATACTGGTTTAGAATAATTAAGATAGGTATTATAATCATTTGATAGTCATACTATACTTGTCTTTATCTATTGAATTTTTATTTTATATTTTCAACAGATACAAACATTTACTCAACTAACAATTGTTTTTTAACGATTATAATATTATATAATTTAGGTATAACTTTCTTTTTCGAATTTTATATTATACAATTTTAAATATGTTATTTTTCTTTTTTTAAGGATATAATATACTATATTTTAGTTTGAACTGTAAAACCATAATACCTTTAAGTTGGAAATCACCATGATTTTTTTTTATAAAAAAATATTTACAATCATAATGTTATAGTTTTTTTTTTWAATTTTGCAAACATATTTTTTATCAATATTAATAATTTGCATAGGTTAATAATAAAATTCATAAAATATACATATAAAAAAAAATTGATTATTTATCATGTGTTTAAGGGCTTTGATTGTTTAAATATGTCTATAACTATAAGTAACATAGTTCGATTCAAAATTATTGTTTTCAATTGTGATAGCTATTTAGCTTTTTCTCATGTAGTATAGTGTTGTTTAAAATTAATTCTTGACAATATAGCCTAAGCGAAACTATAGTGCCCAATTTCAGACTGGATAATTTCTTATTTGTATTTTATTTTATACTTAMCATACTTATTTTAGTAAATAAGTCTTGTTTCAATATTATTTATTTACAATTAAAGTAATGTATTTGTAAATCGACGTGAAGGGTTAAATGTATATTTCATATTAATTATATGTATCTACTAAAATTGGGTTACAATTTTTTTGATTAGTTATGGAGTTTATTGATGAATCGCATACAACTTTTAAGAATTAAATATTATTATAAAACTGAGATAATTAGAAGTAGGATTATTGAGAGGTGATCGAACATGTTGCATACCGAATTCGCGATATATGGTATTACTTTTATATTATTATAATAAAATTACAATAAATATATTTTTAATTTTTGTATTATAATTTTTTTTTTTTTTTAAAACATTTCGCCTTGCCGCTACGCAGCGACATGTGTGTTGTGCGGTGATTTTTTTTCGGC